TTCTTCTTTAATGTTATATAATTTTCCTAACGCTTACAGAAATATGTGTTAAAAAATAATAAATAAAATAAATCTTTCTTCTAAAGAATTTTTGCTAAACTATTTTACTTACAACCCATTTTAAAAAAAGGAGCTATAAAATTTTTGAGTTTAGAAAATTAATGTTTTATACTTTTGTAATGAACTTTCATTTAAAAGTAATAAACTGGATTATTAATAAATTTTAAATAATATTTTAATAGGAAGTAAAGTATAGAACTTTTTACAGGTTTTTTTAAAAAATTAAATTACATCGTTAAATTTGAATTATCTGACGGAATTTTAAGGTAATTTATTATTGGAAAATTATTCTAAGAATCTTTAGATGAAATTTCCAGTAATATTTCGAAAAATTTTCAATCCTTATCCAAAAAAATTAAAAATTATAAAGCATATTGATAATTGATACACATATATAATGAATCTCTTAATACAGATATTTCTGTATATTTTTTAAGTTATTACAAACATATTAAAAATTAATAAATATATTTAAATACAGTTAATATATTTATTATGATAATAATAATAATTCACGAATTTCATTCCTTAATTTTCTCACGAATTTCACTATCATGATCAACATTGCTATTCTGCATATCATCACCATACAACACTAAAAATAACTATTTAAACTAAAATATAACTGATTTTTCTAGATAATATTTGTTATACTATCCAAAAATTACATATTTTATAGCAAAAATAAGTGCAAATCCTTATAAACTAGACGGAAACAGATTTCTGAATATCTCTAAGAGATCTCTTTCTCTTATTTTAATCTTCTTAAATGTATACGTGCAGACGGACTTACAGAGAAGCTTAATTATAGGAAAATTGTTCGATCGGCCAATAATGCAAATACCACACCCTTCTGAAAAATGAAGCACGTGTACGTATGTGCAGAAAACGTGACAACCTTCTACCGACCGAGAATAGAACCACACCTTTCTGTTCGGTCGCTGCATTTTCTTAAAACGAAAACCGTAAACAGAATTCTACAATTACTCAAAAATGACGTAGAATTGCGAAATTGTATTGTATTTATTTATAACATTCAAAACTGCTTGGAGGAGGAAGTGTTTACGTTAGCATCTCTTACATTTTTCAAGGGAAAAAGTCATCTTTTATTCTAAGAGAAGATGCTAAAACTATTAAAAAATGTACAAATCGAATCTTTATACTGCTCGCTAAACAATATATCAATGTCCTTTTGGAATTAAAGCTTGTATCTCTTTCACTTTCTACTGTTTTCGATATATTGATACTATGAGACCATTTGTCTTCTGTGAAAGGATATTGGCTAAATAGAATAGAAGAAATGACTTAAACTTTTTCAAAATACTTCAAAGTATTGACGCTCGAATGACACTAAAATTTAAAATCTATTATACATTTTTAATTTCAGATGAATAGAATTTATTCCTTTCATTATATAAATGTATTTTATACTCGGTAGACTGTCTGCGTTATCTGCCTGATTAAGTATGAAACCTTTCAATATCTTGACTTAGAAGGTAAGAGCAAGATGTCAAACTTGCACTTTTTACGCTTGTATTTAACTTCTTGTTAGCTACAAAATTAGATTTTATGACCTTCTGCAATACTTCAATTTACTTCGGCATACGAAGCGCTTCGGAAAAATTTTTTTCGGTACGACAGTAAAAAATTGAATTTATTAAAAGTTTTAACAGTGATTTATGAGATAAAAACGTTCATTTTAATGTAAAATATAGTTAATATTCTATCACAGTAAGCTGAATAAGCGTAATATAAAGATTCTATCATTAAAAAAATAATTAAAATAAAATAGAAAAATTAAATTTTACATACAAAATATTCATTAATTTACGACAGAATATTTTATTCGTTGAATCATGCGACGATTAAGGAACAATTTAAGTAATTTATCTAATTTTTATGTAAACAAAAAGTTGAAGCATGTATTGATAATTAAGTACCACTACTTTAAATTTGAAAGTAATTTTTTAAGAAATTTCATGGTTTGTAGTTCGCTTTATCGTAATTTGTAATAAGTTTCGGTCAAAGATTTCAAATAATCAATTTTACCGTCCATTGTTTAGGATCTTTTGTGTCAGAAAACGTTATCTTTTTAAGAGTCTTTGGAGCATTTCTCTTTGATCGATTTTCTTGCCTGGATATGTAATCTTTTGCCTTCCAACAGAATTTTTAGGCGACGGAAAAATAACCATTTCCACCTTATAAGTAGTTTTTAAGCCGATTTTAGATTAAATTTAAATTTCATGATCGTACAACTCTCCGTTTTTCTTCTCGAATTTGTATATTTAAACATGATTTTATTACTGCAGGAGCTAATGTTTTCAGTAATTTAATACAACATTTAAGCTTTGCATGATTAAAATAATAACATTTCTGCATACTAACTACTAAAAACTAAAGTGAAAGGAACAAAAAAGGACATTTCTGTAATGCTTTACAGCGCAGAAATTAGACGAATCACTTAAAGGAATTTGAGTATGAAGTGTAAATCGACTGTGCTTATTTTTTTACACGTGAAAAAGCTCCACGGAGAGATTAAAAAAAAGCTGAACCTGTTAACGCTTTATGTGTGTAAAATAAGAATAAATAACCACACCCGTATGAAAATAGATAAAATGATTAATTAATAAAGGTTAATAATACATAATGAATACCCATTTTAATAATATAAATGCTGTTTTGTAATTTTAATTGTATCAAACAGGTAGATCAATGCTACCTTATGTAAAAAAATGAAATTTTTTGTAAGGTAGGAGAGTAAAATCCATCAAAACTGGCTTTAAAATCAGATAGTGACCTTTTTGGCCGGTAGCCAGACTAGTTACCTGTGAAACCTGTCAACAAAAGTACAAAAACTAACTACCTTTGCTTCCAAAAAAGAATAAATACATACATATATATATATATATATTCTTATCGATCACTCATTACTTTATCATATAATAAGTTATCATGATTGAAGAATAACTTTGTTAAATTAGTTACCATCTCCTAACTCGTGATATTATAGTAATAAGATAGCATAGTTATCACTTTGTTGTCGTTAAGGTGTGGATTTAACGTATTCTGCAGTTTACACTTAGCACCGAATGTTTCCATAATAGCATGTTCGACAGTTACATTACTTTTGATAATGTTAAAGATCTTCGTTACGATAGCAGATATCCATCTGTTATCGTAACAAAAATCTAATGCTATTAACGTAAATTGCTACTTTAATAACAAATTATCATTCGAATCATTTAGCAATGCAATTTTAAATAATATACATATATTATTATTTTTATCATTGCAATTATAGCATGGATTTCATCTTAATAAATCAAAATATCGACTGTTTATTAACACTGCTGCTGCAATAATAATATGGTGATAAAGGCTGCATTGGATGGAAAATAGATTTTTAGATAAACTATTTTGCTTCTGTGTCACTGTGGTGTGTACTTGTGGGCAGTGGCGTGTTATCCTATGGGCAAAAAGGGCAATTTTTTGGAGCCCCCATCGATAGGGGCCCCAAACCAATATTTTATAAATTCATTACTCTAGTAAGAGTATCCAAATTTAAATTTAAACTAAAAAAAAAAAGTCTGTCTTAAATAACAAATCTAAAATTACATTTTATTAATGAATAATTCAATATCAATCAATTATTTCATTTCTTATTATAATAAAAATGTGAATGCTCGCTTATCAGTGTACTTATTAGATCATCATCCTCCAGATCACTCCCTCCATTTACGCCATTGCTGTATCATAACAATAATCACTCACAATATATTAATTAATAAATATTGCTTTTCTACTCTGCCCAAGTTTATATAACAGTGATTATATTAAAAAACAAACCTTAAATTAATTTTAATTACATTAAGATTCGTCAAAACTATAATATACTGCTATAATAGCGTGACGAAAGCACTTCCATCTGGACTGCTTTAAGCATTGAAATTTTTACTTGTTACTCATTACAGCTCTGTTACTCACTTGAATAATTACCAAGAATAAATTACCCAATAGAATAATTGTTGTGAATGAGAAATTAATAATTAAAATCAAACGGCTGAAGGGTAACAGTTTGTAGGTATTTATTATCAGAAACTTCATAATGATGAGAGATAGTGCAAGAAGGTTTGCAACGCCCTGAAGGCATAAATGGCAAAAGCTGAGAATAAAATCGAATTTTGTTAAGAAAATATTGGATATTACTGAAACTTTTTTGGTTTATAATGTAAATAAATACGTAGAAAACAATATAATTTCTGTATATAATAATATAAATTATTATTTTCATATTTAGAGTAAATTATTATTGTCATTTATATAATTTAATATCTCGTTCATACTGTTGTGAAGTATTGTTTCTACTTCATACCCTCTATTCGATTTTCATTTAAATATTTATATTTAAATGAAAATTTTAATTTTATAATTTACAGCAGATAAATAACGAATTTTTTAAATAAAATTAATTTTCTCTGAAAGCAATTAACATGCTTCTTTCGAGTCGAGGATGCATCATTGGGAATTCAGGACGTATCCAATCTTGTATAGGAAACTTAACGAAATAGTAAACATTCCTGTCACATGTTTTCTCATTTATAAAGGGGTGGAGTCCAACTGTTTCTATTATCTACACACAAACAATATTGTTACATATGTCATTTCGTTATCTAACCATTTCCTTTAGCAACAGTAATCATTTCCTGCAACGTTTATCAAACATGTGGTCCATGAATTATTCACTCATGAATAAGAAAAGATGCAACGTATTTTTTTACAGCTTGCTATTTTATATTAGCAATTTAACTTAAAAGCTTTCAGTATTAATCTTATAATATAATTTTTATAATCAGAAGACTATTAAAAGATATAAAGTTTCACCTATAATATCCTTAATAAGTTATATATAGATTAAGAAACTAATAGTGATTCTTATAAAAATACTTACCAAGTGTCGTTGTTTTCGAACAATAGAACACCATCAATAGGTTCGTAATCTTTATTAGCTTTAGCACTTCCATCTAGGGTTCTAAAAGTTATAAAAACTCTTCCCCGAGCACCGCTATATCTGTTGACACGTAGCCTATACAGTCCAATAGACTCAGGCACCTCTTGTTGAGAGTCACTAAATGTGAAAATACCTCCGTGATCATCATCCAATATCATCACTGTAGCAAGAGAAGGGTTCACTAGCTTCACGGGTGGCCTGGGATTAATTTGGCCCGGAGAACCATTCATGGCACGAGGGTAACCGTCCGGTGAGAGTAAGTAACGTGGATTGCTCAGCTTGACGTAAAAATGTTCGTCTTCCTCGAAAACGTCATCGTCGATGACCGTGATGAAGATCTGTTTGTGAGCTTCACCAGGACGGAAGACAATTGTACCCTCTAGGGGTTCGTAATCGTCACCGGCGTTAGCGGTTCCATCTTCGGTGGCAAAATCTACGCAAACTGCATTATTCAGGTCACCCTCTCGGCTGATAGTTACTGCAAATTGGCCCACATTCTCCATAACTGTATAGTGGCCAGGATTAAAGAAAATCCTAACCGAATCGTCTTTCTCTTCTTTCTTCTTAACCTGTTCTTTAGTAGGTGGAGGTTCTGGACGTTCGATCTTCTTTCTAACCAAATTACCACCACCCATCAATTTTCTGGTGGCCTGAATCCTGTAGAAAGCCCTACTTTTGGGTCCTTTGTTTAAGATCTCTTCTCTTGCCATCATTTCGATTTCGTCCATACTGCATCGAGGATTTTTCCTTCTGATATCCCTCAATAACTGTATATATTCCCGTCTATGCTCCTCAAATTCTCTGATCTCATCGTTATCTTCTTCTTCGAACACTTTAAACCCGGTATCGGAAGCACTGCTTTTATTAGCAGTGCCCATCTCCACATCACCCTCACCTTCGACTATAACACCCCTCTTGTTCATCCTGTACCGTTTAGATAGGAATTTATAAATAAATAACCTTCTATCCGCAATATAAGCTGTTAGAACAGTGGTTGGGAAGAAAAAAAAAGTCAGGAGCCCCTCCCATACTTCGATCACTCCATGACTCGACCAGGTTAAGATGAGGTAAAGCCAAATATAAGCGAAGACACTCCAAGTCATGGTGACGAAAAATACTCTCAAGTGCTTTATCCTACGATTTTCAGGAGAAGGTATGCTCCATACACAAATTGCTATAATGACAAACATATTAAAAGCAGCACTACCCACTATAGTTCCTGGTCCTAACTCACCAGCTTCAAAATTCTGTCCGTATACTTCAATGATGGACAGCAATATCTCGGGTGCAGATGATCCGAGTGCCATTAGAGTCAAATTGGAAACCGTTTCGTTCCATATCCTAACATTTATTGTTTGTGTTTCACCATTTGGTTTCTTGATCACAACTTCTTTCTCCTTCGATGTGATGACTTCAATAGAAGCCATGAAACGATCCGCTATGATGGATACTCCTATGAATATATAAACTAGAGCAACAAAATAAATCAAACCTCTCGCTACTACATCTCCCGTACTTAGATTCCTATCCGGTAGCCATCTTGGTAATAACAGCCCATCCTTGCATAAAAACTGTGTAGTATTTTTCTTATTACAGTAAGCGTAAGGGAGAAGTAAAGTCAATAAAAAAATGATGATGAGTTTTATTGATACATTCATTTTTTTTCTTATATTAATGAATTTCAATATTGCTGTAATGGTAATTGAAGTCGGAACTTCTTTCACCTTGGTCCATTTTACATGCTATCTATTTTTTCGAATTTTTGAATATTTTGGAACTTTATCCTCCATCTTCCTCCCTGTAAATAATGAAATATGATTATTTTATGTTGCTTTACTATTAAACATCATCGTTATTAAAATAAGTTTAAATAACAATTTACTCTTTAATTTCAAAAGTTGATATGCATTTATTCCTATAGTAGTTACTACTATATGAACAAATCTTATCAATTATAAATTACTAACACAATGCATTTTGTAACGAAATTATTGCTAGTAACATAAATACTGCTGTAAGAATAAAATTGCTGCTACATTTGGAAAATAAATTGTGTAATACTCGTAGTATCACAGATGACTGAAATAGCTTCACGAACAAAACTAGTGATTAGTTTTTTAAAAACACATATAGATGCTATTACAGTATCAATTCTTAAACACAATTACAACAATAATCATATCAAATTAAATTAGTAGGCTTTCTATTGATAGGCCATAATTTTAGTGTAATTGCAATGACAGACGAACTATTATAGGAACAATTCTTAATTAAAAAATAAATCGGATATTATACGTAAAGAAACGTTTTATATCGATTATTTATGCTGCTACAGATAAAAGTAAATAAATTTATATTATATTATAATTAATATTTTGTAAATGTATAAGTTAAAGTTAAAAGTTAAAGTCCTTTTTTACTGTCGTTCTTTTAGTATTGAAAACCCACATCTTTTAAATTTAGTTATTTATAAAAATAAAAATAAAATACTTATTTTAGTATAGAACTAACAGAAATAAATGATAACATAGGAATTTATCGCTGCAGAGGTGTCAAGAAATGGAATGATCTTATGTTAGGAACTCACAAATTAATCCAGATTCAAGATTGGAACGTCTTAGACAACATCGATTTCTGCCACAAAGACTATTTTATAACCAAAATATTACTCATATAACAAAGATCATTCATATTTCAACCAAAATATGACTCATATTTTGGTTGAAATATGAATAATCTTTGTTCGACGGCAACTGACCGAAGATAAAACTTTTAAAAGTTGACGAAATGCTTTAAACTCGGCAAATCAACCTCTTCGTAACCATAGTATATCGCACGAATCCTCCTTATGATAGGGGGTCTTTTTTACCCCTTTATTTTGGATTCTTTCCGCCCTTCTCCGCCCTCTTAAGTGCGCCTTCTTAATCATATCTATCCTGAATTTGACCACACCCACAATGGATGCAGTCGGGTAGTGAAGAACGGGGTTCAACATATTCGACATAAATCATCCATGAGAAATTCGTGCTTCCTGATTCAAATTTCGAACCAGGATCCTCCAGAGCGACATGATAATCCAAGCAAACCCATATAAATCGTGGCCTAATTCTGTATGTATAACAAGCAACTTATCTATGACGTAAACACAACATACCAGTGACGTAATCAAAATTCTTCCTCGCCGAGTTTGGAACTCCTCCGAAATGTTGCAAAGAAAAAGAATTCTCTATTCGTACAGTTTTTCTACATGAACTCCGTATGCCTCGCGCTTCGTTCCGAACGCATTCAACTTTTTAAAAACTCTCAGTTCGTTCGAGTCTGGTAGTTCGATAATACAGAATCCCAATAGCATATCAATAAACTAAGAACCGAGTTCCAATCTCGACGCTTCGTGTCGCTTCGTGACACTCATCTTTATGTTATAATTTATAGTAATATATAAATGTATATCAATTAAAAACTATAAATAATCTTTTAAAAATTTAATAAAGAATAATCGATAGTAAGACAATATATAAGTGCCGTTATTTAAAATATGCGAGGAGAAATAATTTTAGAAATTTAAAATAAGCAGGTGGCGCTTAAGTTAACGTCTAGTGAACCATGCCGTTGTAAGAAGTATCGCAGGACCTGAAGTGTTTGAATTGAAATTTCAAATATTCCTAGCAATATGTGCCACGTTTTTTTACCAATTCACTATTTCATATTTATATAAGAAATCTTCTTACATTTCATGTCAGTGAAACCAATTCACCTTTGTTATATTTTCACTTAATTAATTTTAAAATTAAGTTATAAAATATAATTTAATTTTTAAATTTTTATAAATTAAATTGCGCATTTAATTATAAAATATGGTGCTAAATTAGATTATGATGTGAGCTATATATAGACTACATAATCGAATGTCTGTCTGTAACTATAAACACTTATAAATCCTTTAACTGATCTGTATCAAATTTTTCATAGTTACTCTTTAGGACCACCTCCGAAAATATAGGCTATCACCACACTCCCTCCCCTCATTTCATTCCCTGTTAATTCCTACTGTATATGAATAAGTAGCAAATATAAGACATCTGCTAGTTATTCGTATAGAAAAGGAGGAATTTCTAGACGAAGAATCAAAAATACGGAATTGTTTTATATGTTATAATATAATAAACTAATTTAATATTTTTATGTAAAATTTTATTATTATAATAACATTCTTCTCAAAATTATTATAGCAGTTTATATAACTAAAAGATATTTGAAGAAATTTCAGTTAAAAATTCTTCAAAACTATTTATTACTGTAGTAGCATTTTTATAAATAAAATATTTTCAATTATTTATGGATAAAACATTAGAAATCGTATTTATTTTTAAATTTTTAAAATTTCATCACAAACTTCTATCCAGTTAGCCACATTTTATTGCTCTAATAGCATCGTGCTATCTTTCCTGCTGATGCTTCAAGAGTATTCGTGAAATTTTACCCATTTATCACCAATATAAACGAAGATGAAACATTAAAAAAAGAAAGTATTTTTAAATTTTTAAAAGGTTTCGATGTATAAACTTCGATTGCGTTGATCCACGTTTCTTTTATTATGATATTCATCATGTTGTCTTTTCCGCTGATGCTTTAAGAAAGGATACGTGGATTTTTATCTATTTATCACCATTATAAGAACAGTTTTTACAACCGACACTTAACACCTCCTCGACGATGGCAATATTAATGTTACTATAGTTTTATAGGGAATAGTTTGAGAGGAGAATAAATGGAGGATTTGTTCTATGAAGGTTTTAACACATTGTCGCTGTCACTTTTAACGGGAAACAAGCAATCAGAGAAGCCATGCAATGACAAATCGTGGCAAGACTTCACTTAACAAATTTTCTTTTGTGACTTTCGATACTATAAAAGTAGTAGTGCGGATATCGGAAGTTTGAAATTACTACTACTTTTATCGAGAAGGAAGTTGATGGAGTGACATCAAGAAATAGCCTAGCATCGGATGACAGACTTTCAATTAAAGTAAAATAGCTGTAAAATATCTTTTATCCTTGATCAAGAACTCAAAATCCGTATCAGATATCTTTAAAAGTTCTTATTTTTTAAAAAAAGTTATGTTACTGAAGCAATAAGTACTCGAAATATATGTTCTAAACTGTGACTAAAGACAATGGCGCGTTATCTTATGGGCAAAACGGGCAATTGCCTGGAGCCCTCACAAAAAAGGAGGCCCTAAACCAATTTTTTATAAGAATATTGAAGACCTTGGAATAACATGTTAACTAAGTCTCTATTGAACATTGTTTAATTTCTACACACAGGACAGATATGATTTCCTGTCTGATGACCCATAACTTCTTATCACTGGTCTATCAACCTCTAATATCATTAATCACCTATGATCTGTCTTAAATACAGGGCCCATTTATAGAAATTTGAAAAAAATGAGTTAACATATTCTTGCCCAATGTCTTCAATTGATAAAATTACTTTAAAGAATAGTTAATTCTTCAAGTTGTAAATTACAAAATTCTACAGGATTAAAATAAATTATTAAGGTGTTTAGATAGATTAAAATTTATTAAATATTTTTGAAACCTTAATTAATAAAAATTTAAAATATCTGAATTAATAAGCACACTTTTATTTAACCTTTAATTTATTAAATTTTTCTACTAATTTTATTTAAAATTAATTTATAAATGAATTTAATGGATAGTTAATTCCATTTAAAGACTTTTAAACTGTTTTAATAAAGAAACTGAATTTAAATAACACGTATTAGTAAAGTTTAATAGCAGAAAATCGTTATTTCGAGGATTTAAAGAGTATTTATTATTATTGCTAGATTCCGAAGAGTATAATTAAATGAAACAAGTAGATTTATAGCTATGGTTTACTAAACGTCATTGACAAACAAGAAAATTCTCGTGGAATACAAAGAGAAACTAAATACCTAAGAAAATTATATAAGATAAAGGTTTACTTTGACAAGCTTTTAGAAAAGAAAACAAAGAACAGTTAGCAACATTTTTCAAAGGTTTAAGAGAATAGAAGAGTGGGGATGACAAGTAAGAAAAGAGAGATAATTGGCACAATTGAAAGACGTCTGTGTACCTCAATAAAGCCATACGAAGAAAGCATCTGTTGCACTTTTTAACTTACAAACCCTTACATCAAATAGTTGTCTCACGCAACGTCATTAACTAAAACAGCAATACGGCCATCATCCAAGTAAGAAGAAAGATTTATTGCTTCAATATCGACATCAATATAATTTGTAGCTATTCAGGATTAGCTTCTTATCAAAATTAAATTCGATGGCATGCTATAAGAACAGGTGCAAGTGGCCGTTTTCAGATATCTTTACAATATGCGAAGAGGGATGGATGTCATACTAGAAGATAAGTTCAACGTTCTTTTAGTCCTTCTGTCACGCTCAGGTAAACTGCCCGAGCTTGGCAAGAAGTATATTTTCGTCCCTATTGATTTTCGTGCAGGACTTACCGCAGTGCGCAAGGAACGATGGGAATGTCAGGACAATATTCTTTTTCTCTCTCTCTCTCTCTTCCTCCCTTCCGTCTTTCTCTCTCACTCTCTCTCTTTTTTTAATTTGGTGTGATTCGCTTTCCCATTATTTCATTTGAAAATTGTCCTTATTCCTTTTTTAAATTGAAAACATCAATTTCACACAATCTTTATTGGATCTACAAGGATGTACTCTCTTATAAAAGATATGATACAAGGCAAATGCTATGTATTTTTTTTTCTCGTCGTTCCTAGCAAAATACCGCGAGATTTATGGCAGAAATTTCCCTAAATATGCTTTTATTATTAATAAAATTATTGTTATTAATACTTCAATTATTTATTTTTAATTTCGAATTTTATAAGTTAACTTTTTCTTCGATCTTCTTTAAAAGTTTACATCTTCGTAGAAATCCTGTATTTTACATAAGTTTTATACTTTATATAAAACTATAATAGATTTGTTTTCTTAAATAACTATTTGGATCTAAGAATGATTATTGAAGACAATTTATAGATTTTTTTTTCCTCCTTTCAATCTCGAAAATAATAATAGTTATGTTTTATAATAATTTTATAGAAATTCTATACTTACATTTTATTTAATAGATTTTATATATTATATTTTTGAAGATAAAAAGAGTTTTGTTACAGTATCGAACATTTTCTTATGTTATTTCTGCGACTTTTTCAGTTTTGTGAACACGACAAATAATAAATTTTTTGTAAATTGAGATCAAATCTAATATCATTGTTTATCTACATGTAATTTATTAATATAAACTTAGAAAATTGTACTTAAGAATATTCTTATGATTAGTTTTAATATAAAAAGTCGGTTAACATTGTAGAAACAATTTAAAATTGTTAAATATTTAACCATAGTTTTTATGTGAATGAAAAACACGGTTAACTGAATTTTGGACCACCCCGTTCGTAAGTTATTTTTTTCGAAATGTTTTAAAGATGTTAAATTAGTAATTCACTGGTAAACAGAAGTTTGATTTTTAAAGAAATTGAATAAAAATTTTTCTCCAGTTTATCAAATTTATTTAATATTTAAGTGAAAGAAATCTGATTGTGCACATCAGTTTTATTTGAAATTTAGTTTATTTATAGAGGTTGTTAGAAAGAAAATATTTTATAAGGCTTTAATATTTTAGCAATTCATCAAACGGTTAACATAAGGCTGTTTGCATCGTCTCCAATACAAAAACTACTCTAAATGCTTATTACTAAGTTGTATGTTAGTTTAATGGTTAATAATAGAGATTGTTGCTCATTATTAATTAATCTTCTGTTAGCTATTTACAGTGAATGCTAGCTTTGTAATATTAATCCGTTCCAGAGGCTTTGTCGTATTGTGCAAATATTGTAATATCAATTCAATAATATATTGATTTTTGGTAATTCATAGCTTAAATAGCCTTTATACAAATTTGCATTATACAGTTAATTGCAACTCTTTAAATCTTTTATGTATAACAAGAATTTCGTATAGTTTGTTTGCAATTAAACGTATAAGGAATTTTTCACGGGTATAGTACGTGCAATATATTAAACAGTACCTTTTATTTTATACTTTAACAAGGGAATTTGCTCAAATACAAATTAATGTAATAATTTACTATCTTAAACTTTTTTACATTCTCATTTCGGCTTATCTGGACTTGTATACTGTATATTATAGATTATATATAGATCATCCAGATATATGAAGAAGCCGGCGGCCTATTTTTCCTTGGCCCAAGCACAGAAAGGCTTCAAAATTTAGGTCCACAAAATAAAACCATTGAACACTGGTAGTTGATTGTGGCTTTGCACTTAAACTATGGACTGGC